CCTCGAATATATTTGTTGTGGCGATCGAATGTGAGTCAAGGGCACTCATGGCAGCATGACCAAGTGGTTAGTGTGCTACTGCACCATCACGGTTCGAGTCCCGCCAAAGATGCTGATGCGACCTGGGCGAGATCGAAACTGCAGTCTATCCCTGTCTGGATATGAGCAACTTTTGGGAATGAAGTATATTCAGCATTCAATGGAATCGTAAGACCTACTCATGTCATTGCTGGAAAATTGATCTACCAGTCCATCACCCATTTTGTTTATGTCTGTAGGAGCACGAACAAAGTTCAACAGCTCTTGAAAGTAAGGATGGGCAATGAAAAATGACGGTTCATTATAAGCGTCATGTGTCGCCATTCGCTACTACTCATTAGAGATTCCTGTCTTTTTTGCACTCGCACATAAAGGATGAAGGGTGCCCGAACTTTTGTTTTTTTCTACCATTTTGCGCCACAAGACCACATCGGCCGGCCAAGTCAAGTGGCAATCCAGGCCAGCAGCTGCACTCACCTCGCAGCATCAAGAAGCCCTTAACTCGTACCAATTGCTTTGGCTTCCGGTTACGCAGTGCCCCAGGCCTGAATCCAGACCTTCTACATGACTCAACCTCAAGTCGACAAGAGCAATCGTCCGGCCAACTTGCTGCCGTCGGTCCACCGTCGGTCCAGGTCCACATTTTGCACACCAAAACGACCTCTCGCCTCTTCTCCCCCTGCCCTTGCCACGACCACAGGCCCGAAAACTGGAACCTGTCCCGTCTGGCTTCAGTGACGGCCAGAACGGCCAGATAGTATCGAGTCGGGCGGACGATTTGAAGAAGCAACGTAAACACGGCTCACGTTCACACAATGGTCATAAAAAGATGCGTTCACAGCCTGTTTGTAGAGTGAAGGAGGTCAAGTGTGGCCGACCTGAGGGTCTTTGCCCCTGGCCCACAAGGCTGGCAAATGTGAACTGTGTCCGTGTCCTGCAATAATATTCATTCACTGTCTTGCCGCATGTGAAGGGGTTATGCTGTCGCAACGACGCTGACGGCGGGATGAAGGGAGAAAATGATGCGAGTGTGGAGCGACGGAGCAGTGAAGTATGAAGACTGACCTCGGACAGACTGTTCTAAAAAGACAAGGAGTACATCCTGACGAGGAGCTGTGAGTACTGTCTTTCCTGTTTCTGTATGTGCCAAGGGTTAGGAGGATGCAGTCTGGCCGAAATCGGGCAATTGGAGAAAGCTTGAGATCGAGGAAGGGTCGTCTGATCTCCTCTGCTGCCACAATTGGACTGGCTTGTGGCTCCGGATCACATCAAGCCGCGGTGTCTCAGCCTCTCCATCTCCCACGGCTCGTCGAGCCTGTGGCGCCTGAGAGGCAGACGCTCAGGACAAGTCTTGCTTCACAGGCCGAGGAAGATGGGACACGTGCAAATACAGTTCTCGTGAAGAGGAGGAGGGAACTAACTTCCACTTCGGAGCTCCCCGCCCCAGGCTTGGTACCTGGCGAGAGACGCATTTCCCCACCCACAGAATGTACACATAAAGTGTTTCGTATTTTCCTTTCTTGTCAAAGTAGCCGATGTGAAGAGCCGACGGCCAAACTGACCAGAATAAAGACGGATGGTTTCTTTGCACCTACAGTTGTTTTAGCTTAAGGTGAACCAGTTCACGAGACATTCTTTTAGAGACTTTCATTGTGTATGAAAGTGCATAATGAAGAGATCTGAAGGTCGAGCTCACCCGAAGACGACGGCAAATTTCTGCCATCCTGCAGCCGTTTGTTTTGATACACGAGACCTCTTCCTTGGTTCCGGGGGAAAACTGACTGGTCTGTCGTCAGTCATGTCACTTGGCTGGTAAAGTAGGAGTTCGAACTTATTCTTGCAAAAGTTTCTGCTATATATACTCATGAGTAAAAGCGAAAATGCATAAACATAGAAATATATAGTGATTTTGTCCTCTTTCATATCAGTAAGAGTCCTTATAATTGCGGGTGCCCAAGTGTTTTAAAGACTATATATATATATATATAATATGAGATGTATTCACCCTATTTCGTCTAAGGTGATGAAGGACTGGTAGTAAAATTTTCACACAATGATATGGGTTGAGCTGACGTTTCCATTGAATTTTACATAGCCCTGAATGAGAACAACTTTTTGGAAAGCAAGGCTATGTGAAATTCAATGTAAACGTCAGCTCAACTCATATCCTTGTGGGAAAATTCTTCTTCTACCAGTCCTTCATCACCTTAAACAAAAGAGGGTGAATACATCTCATATTACTGATTAACTAGTAGACACAAAAAACAATACTTTATTCGAAAAAAAAAAATATATAGGCTGAGATTCCATTTGAAGTTTGTCAAGAATGAGTTTCAGCTCTGACGATTTCCTTCATATGACAGACGAAAGCATAGTCGTTTTTCAACCGAAACCAGGGAGGAAATCTGGTTAACTGAACGTCGTATTAGGGACAAAAGACTGTAGAGCAAAGGGAATCTTCTGTCGTCTTCTTGTGAGCTTTAGCTAAGAATTACAGAAGTTGTTTGACCTTGTTTTCGCAACCTGGTCATATTGGTAGAAAGACTTAGAGAAACGCACCTAGTCTGGAGTCCATTGTATGCATCATCATTTACAGAGTAGGACCGTGGACGTGGTACATTCTCATACGTTTCGTCGGTATCGTCAGTGATTCTCGTTATTCGTAGCACCATATTACGACTCGTCTTGTCTATTTGACGAGTTGTAATATGGTGCTATGAATAACGAGACTCACTGACGATACCGACGAAACTTCTGAAAATGTACCACGTCTACGGTCCTACTCTGGAAATGATGATTCATACAATGGACTCCGGACTATGTGCGTTTCTCTAAGTCCTCCTACCAATATAACCAAGTTGCGAAAACAAGGTCAAACAACTTCTATTAAGTATTTTTTGCAACTACATATTTTATTAACATTGCT